GGAGTGTGGGGAGATGGGGGGGTCTCATAGGGAGTGTGTGTGTGGGGGGGGGTCATGGGGACAGAGAATGAGGGGGGGAGGGGGGGGGAGACTGAAAATTGGAGCTGAGACAAGCCATCTTTACAACTATTTATCGTGAAGCACCAGGCTAGTTAAGATGGAACTTCTTGATTTCGTAAACATACAGTACAGGAGGCCTGGTCGACGACCGGGCCGCGGGGACGCTAAGCCCCGGAAGCACCTCAAGGTAACCTCAAGGTAACCTACACTAAACATATAAATATATTAGAGCAAAGTGAACATATTGAATTTAACCATTACGTCGACGAGGCAGACGCTAAACTGATATAATTAATTAACTCTAAGCTGTATGGAGTTTTGATTTAATATTAGTGTGTTATCTCCCAGGGAAGAGTTGTGTGTATGTTATCTCCCAGGGAAGAGTTGTGTGTATGTTATCTCCCAGGGAAGAGTTGTGTGTATGTTATCTCCCAGGGAAGAGTTGTGTGTATGTTATCTCCCAGGGAAGAGTTGTGTGTATGTTATCTCCCAGGGAAGAGTTGTGTGTATGTTATCTCCCAGGGAAGAGTTGTGTGTATGTTATCTCCCAGGGAAGAGTTGTGTGTATGTTATCTCCCAGGGAAGAGTTGTGTGTATGTTATCTCCCAGGGAAGAGTTGTGTGTATGTTATCTCCCAGGGAAGAGTTGTGTGTATGTTATCTCCCAGGGAAGAGTTGTGTGTATGTTATCTCCCAGGGAAGAGTTGTGTGTATGTTATCTCCCAGGGAAGAGTTGTGTGTATGTTATCTCCCAGGGAAGAGTTGTGTGTATGTTATCTCCCAGGGAAGAGTTGTGTGTATGTTATCTCCCAGGGAAGAGTTGTGTGTATCTTTGACTTTGATACACATTACACTGACTTAGATGATACACACAGTTGTTACACCGTGAGAAACAATCGCTACTTGCCGAGAGACGCGTTCGGTACTCAATATGTACTTAACGTGTACTCAACACGTCCTGTACTCAATATGTACTCAACGGGTCCTGTACTCAACATGTACTCAACACGTCCTGTACTCATCGGGTCCTCTACTCAATATGTACTCAACGCGTCCTGTACTCATCGGGTCCTGTACTCAATATGTACTCAACGCGTCCTGTACTCAACATGTACTGTACTCAACGGGTCCTGTACTCAATATGTACTCAACGCGTCCTGTACTCAACGGGTCCTGTACTCAACATGTACTGTACTCAACATGTACTCAACGCGTCCTGTACTCAACATGTTTTAACCCTGTTAGTTCAGAATCCTCGCCGATCCCACCTAAATTTCAACCCAATTTGGAAAACTACGGCAAAACAAAACTCCCGCTACTCAGTAATTAGTTCCCAAAAACACACACAACTAATCAGTGTTAAAAAAAACTTGAAACTCTAACGTAACACAAATTATTGTACATACCGACTTGTATTTCGCCTACAAGACTCCCTCGAGTCCCGGGGTATTGTTTCCAACCGCCTTATAACTGTTATGCCAAGTCAAAAATTTATAGATTTAGTATTGTAAGATGATGATGGGTTTCAGGTTCCACCCCGGTTGGTAGTGTGTAGTTCTTCGGTGTCTTCGGCCGCTTCCGCCGACTCCACTACGGGGTCCCGATGGTCTCTTTGTGAGACCAATGGCAAGGCCCACCCGCCCACTTCTCCCCGTACGCCCACACAGCAGCCCACGCACGCCCACAACTGCTATAACGCCTGTCAGTCCACTAACGGCTCCGGTGATCCAAATTCTCCCAGAAAGCGCATTCAGCCGCCTAAGACCAAGTTGAAGTTTGCGCTCGCTAAAGAGCGCAAGGCCTCCACCACTCTAGGTAAGCACATGGGTGTATATTTCTGGAGTATATCTCTGGAGTATATCTCTGCCTTGTTATGATGCTGTAACCGTCCTAACACTTTTTTGTGTATTATGGATTCTTGATATGTATACAACGCTTCTAGACCACCTTATGTATTGTCATTTATGTATACAATGCCCCCTTCCATCTCATGTATTATCACCATTATGTATATAACGCCCCCCCCCCCCGACACCAGCTTATGTATTGTCACTATTATGTATACAATGCTCTCAGACCATCTTGTGTATTTTCACTCTTACAGGCAAATCATTCGAAAAATCTAACACATTCACTAAAAAACATGTATTATAAATTCATGGAAAATCTGTTGTTTATATTCACCAGTATGAACAGAATTTGTATACATACAGCAGAGATCGTTTGCCCGCGCGTATACATACAGCAGAGATCGTTTGCCCGCGCGTATACATACAGCAGAGATCGTTTGCCCGCGCGTATACATACAGCAGAGATCGTTTGCCCGCGCGTATACATACAGCAGAGATCGTTTGCCAGCGCGTATACATACAGCAGAGATCGTTTGCCCGCGCGTATACATACAGCAGAGATCGTTTGCCAGCGCGTATACATACAGCAGAGATCGTTTGCCCGCGCGTATACATGGAGCAGAGATCGTTTGCCCGCGCGTATACATACAGCAGAGATCGTTTGCCCGCGCGTATACATGGAGCAGAGATCGTTTGCCCGCGCGTAGACATACAGCAGAGATCGTTTGCCAGCGCGTATACATACAGCAGAGATCGTTTGCCCGCGCGTATACATACAGCAGAGATCGTTTGCCCGCGCGTATACATACAGCAGAGATCGTTTGCCCGCGCGTATACATACAGCAGAGATCGTTTGCCCGCGCGTATACATACAGCAGAGATCGTTTGCCAGCGCGTATACATACAGCAGAGATCGTTTGCCCGCGCGTATACATACAGCAGAGATCGTTTGCCAGCGCGTATACATACAGCAGAGATCGTTTGCCCGCGCGTATACATGGAGCAGAGATCGTTTGCCCGCGCGTATACATACAGCAGAGATCGTTTGCCCGCGCGTATACATGGAGCAGAGATCGTTTGCCCGCGCGTATACATACAGCAGAGATCGTTTGCCAGCGCGTATACATACAGCAGAGATCGTTTGCCCGCGCGTATACATGGAGCAGAGATCGTTTGCCCGCGCGTATACATACAGCAGAGATCGTTTGCCAGCGCGTATACATACAGCAGAGATCGTTTGCCCGCGCGTATACATACAGCAGAGATCGTTTGCCCGCGCGTATACATCCAGCAGAGATCGTTTGCCCGCGCGTATACATACAGCAGAGATCGTTTGCCCGCGCGTATACATGGAGCAGAGATCGTTTGCCCGCGCGTATACATACAGCAGAGATCGTTTGCCCGCGCGTATACATGGAGCAGAGATCGTTTGCCCGCGCGTATACATACAGCAGAGATCGTTTGCCAGCGCGTATACATACAGCAGAGATCGTTTGCCCGCGCGTATACATACAGCAGAGATCGTTTGCCCGCGCGTATACATACAGCAGAGATCGTTTGCCCGCGCGTATACATACAGCAGAGATCGTTTGCCCGCGCGTATACATACAGCAGAGATCGTTTGCCCGCGCGTATACATACAGCAGAGATCGTTTGCCCGCGCGTATACATACAGCAGAGATCGTTTGCCCGCGCGTATACATACAGCAGAGATCGTTTGCCCGCGCGTATACATGGAGCAGAGATCGTTTGCCCGCGCGTATACATACAGCAGAGATCGTTTGCCCGCGCGTATACATACAGCAGAGATCGTTTGCCCGCGCTAAATGAACAAGCAATGAGCGCATATTATGGGCATTTGAAAATATTTTGAGTACATGTATCAACAGTTGAATTATTGCAAAGTCAATATGTATAAAATTAGAGGTAAAAATGCTCACAGTAAACATGGTTGGAATCGGCCCGTTCACGCTCATCAAACTATATAGAGAGTCCAACAGTCAACAGTTTGGTAATTGATCTTTCCACAGTGTTAGGCATGACTGTTTACCCGAAATAGCACCAGCGAGGCATGTAATATATATATATATATATATATATATATATATATATATATATATATATATATATATATATATATATGTCGTACCTAGTAGCCAGAACGCTCTTCTCAGCTTACTATGCAAGGCCGAATTTGCCTAATAAGCCAAGTTTTCATGAATTAATGTTTTTTCGACTACCTAACCTACCTAACCTAACCTAACCTAACCTAACTTTTTCGGTTACTTAACCTAACCTAACCTATAAATATAGGTTAGGTTAGGTTAGGTAGGGTTGGTTAGGTTCGGTCATATATCTACGTTAATTTTAACTCCAATAAAAAACAATTGACCTCATACATAATGAAATGGGTAGCTTTATCATTTCACAAGAAAAAAAATAGAGAAAATATATTAATTCAGGAAAACTTGGCTTATTAGGCAAATCGGGCCTTGCATAGTAGGCCGAGAAGTGTATTCTGGCTACTAGGTACGACATATATATATATATATATATATATATATATATATATATATATATATATATATATATATATATATATATATATATATACTTGAGACGAAGTTACCCCGTTGAGAGGACTGGGTAATATGTTCCTGCACTCTGATTGGTCTACTGGATCAGTAGGTGCGGGGTGCATTAGTACTTGTATCGTGCTCCAAGCAACAGCCTGGTGGACCAAGCTCTCACGAGTCAAGCCTGGCCTCGGGCCGGGCTTGGTGGAGTAAAAGAACTCCAAGAACGCCATCAACCAGGTACATGAACGCGAACGACTGTCTCCCCCTACGGATTAAACAGGAGCCATAGGCGATCCTGTCGATAGGAATCAGCAGGAAAGACCTTTACAGCTGTAGGACTTTCCTGCCGATATTCGCCTGCTAACGAGACCTCTTACACTAATATCCAGATACTAATGGTGCTCCTGCGATAATATCCGGTTAGAAATGTTGTCTCCAACGCAAATATCCGGCCGCAAATGAGCATCCTTCGAAAATATCCGGATATAAGTGGCTCGTACGATGATATCCGGACACGTGTTTGGTTTATATGTTATCTCACTCCATCACCTTAAAAATATGTCCGATAAATTAATTCCCACGCTGACATAATCATTCCCACGCTGACATAATCATTCCCACGCTGACATAATCATTCCCACGCTGACATAATCATTCCCACGCTGACATAATCATTCCCACGCTGACATAATCATTCCCACGCTGACATAATCATTCCCACGCTGACATAATCATTCCCACCCTGACATATTAATGGTTTCAGCATTATCACGACGGAATTGATAATCCACAATTGAATCCCGGGAAGCTAAAAACGTTCACTGAAGTCACAATTTGCATGTCGGATTCAAATTCTTACGCTCGCAGAATTTGTCAAACGTTGCAACTGATTAATGTGATTAATGTGATGATTAATGTGACCCATCATGAGGATAAGGCCTGAAGAAGCATGGAAATTGCTCTTCATTCATCAGACAGACATTGAATTAGGACTAATCGCCTATCAGAGAGGCTATACACTATTGTGGTGATGGTGGTGGAATGTGCCAGTACTCACCTAGTTGTGCTTGTGGGGGTTGAGCTCTGGCTCTTTTGGTCCCGCTTCTTAACTGTCAATCAACCTGTGTACAGATTCCTGAGCCTATTGGGCTCCCCCCGGTAGGCTGGGGAGTGTTGTTTGTGGCGATGGTGGTCGAATGTGGCAGCGGTTTTACCCACAATACGGGAGCCGGTCGGCCGAGCGGACAGCACGCGGGACTTGTGATCCTGTGGTCCTGGGTTCGATCCCAGGCGCCGGCGAGAAATAATGGGCAGAGTTTCTTTCACCCTATGCCCCTGTTACCTAGCAGTAAAATAGGTACCTGGGTGTTAGTCAGCTGTCACGGGCTGCTTCCTGGGCACAAGGTAGGTGGGTAAGTGGTGGTGATTGTGGTAGTAATGTTTGTTTCCTCAGGTTAGTACAATACAAGTCGATTCCTTCCTCAACGTGTCAATAAAAAAAATAAATATCAATAAAGAAAAATGAGCGCAGTCTTGATAAGAACAATGTTGTAGTGAATGACCGTCTATCTCATTCACCTGGGCTGTATGGGTCTCGAACCCTGGACCCCACGATTGTGAGGTCGAAAGTTTTACCGTCTATTATATCAACTTAATGGCCAAATTTCAACATCATGGTTTCCCGGAAGTATACAAAACATAGCTAAACAGTCTCCGTGGTGTAGTGGTAAGACACTCGCCTGGCGTTCCGCGAGCGCTATGTCATGGGTTCGTATCCTGGCCGGGGAGGATTTACTGGGCGCAATTCCTTAACTGTAGCCTCTGTTTAACGCAACAGTAAAATGTGTACTTGGATGAAAAAACGATTCTTCGCGGCAGGGGATCGTATTCCAGGGACCATAGGATTAAGGACTTGCCCGAAACGCTACGCGTACTAGTGGCTGTACAAGAATGTAACAACTCTTGTATATATCTCAAAAAAAAAAAAAAAAAACCTGTTTTAAAAGCTTTAACAGAAAGGGATAACGAAATAGATGAGACGAAAGCTGCAACAAACCAGTGATTTGTAGGTATTAGTGATTTCCTGATGTTGAAGAGTATACCCTGTTTCTGCTCTTAATAGGAAATTGCCTGAAGTGTTTCCCTTCCAGTTATATAGAAGGGTTATATTTGATATATCCTTCTATATATATATATAGAAGGAAGGGTGAGGTATTATATTGCCACGAGGGAGCTGGGTGGGTGCCATAAGCCCCGTGTGGGACTCGAACTATGGATGCCACAAGCCCCCCTGTATGGGGCTGAAACCATGGGTGCCACAAGCCCCCCTGTGTGGGGCTGAAACCATGGGTGCCACAAGCCCCCCTGTGTGGGGCTGAAACCATGGGTGCCACAAGCCCCCCTGTGTGGGGCTGAAACCATGGGTGCCACAAGCCCCCCTGTGTGGGGCTGAAACCATGGGTGCCACAAGCCCCCCTGTGTGGGGCTGAAACCATGGGTGCCACAAGCCCCCCTGTGTGGGGCTGAAACCATGGGTGCCACAAGCCCCCTTGTATGGGGCTGAAACCATGGGTGCTACAAGCCCCCCCTGTGTGGGGCTGAAACCATGGGTGCCACAAGCCCCCCCTGTGTGGGGCTGAAACCATGGGTGCCACAAGCCCCCCTGTATGGGGCTGAAACCATGGGTGCCACAAGCCCCCCTGTATGGGGCTGAAACCATGGGTGCCACAAGCCCCCCCCCTGTGTGGGGCTGAAACCATGGGTGCCACAAGCCCCCCTGTATGGGGCTGAAACCATGGGTGCCACAAGCCCCCCCTGTGTGGGGCTGAAACCATGGGTGCCACAAGCCCCCCTGTATGGGGCTGAAACCATGGGTGCCACAAGCCCCCCCTGTGTGGGGCTGAAATCATGGGTGCCACAAGCTTTAAATTACACGTCATAAAGACCAGTTCAATTTTAACATCAGTCTCCAGGGCTCCCAAACATGGCGCATTTGTAAAACTGTAAAAAAAAAAAAAATCCACACATTTCGCTACACATTTTTTCGATTTAGATCTAAAAGGAAGAGAATATGACTTTCTTTTTTTTTTTTGTAACCTAAACGGCGAATCAAACGAATCAAACAAAATCAAACGAAGGGAAGTGGAAATTATATTTTCTAGTCGCACAGTGTTCTCCTTCTGTGTCTTTATCAATACATTGTGTTCACTACCAATACAATGTGTTCGTTTCCCCTCGCCCAGAGGAAGAACGGCGTGTGTTGTCTTTCACAAGAGATGATTAGAAATAAAATGTGAAATTGATAAAGAATGAAACACTGATAACGACATTGATAGCTCTAATTGATATATTTAGATAACGATATCATTGGACCATTAATGTCAGCAGGAGTGATAAGAACTATGGTGATAACATTAATGATAACGACTATAATAGGACCGATAATGTCAGCAGTGTAATAAAGTAAGTTACATTCAATAATGTCACTACTGCACAACCGCAACGGCAGGTCCAGGGGCCAGATTCACGAAGCAGTTACGCAAGCACTTATGAACCTGGGGCCAGATTCACGAAGCAGTTACGCAAGTATTTACGAACCTGTACATCTTTCCTCAATCTTTGACGGCTTTGTTTACAATTATTAAACAGATAATGAGCTCCGAAGCACCAGGAGGCTGTTTATAACAATAACAACAGTTGATTGGCAAGTTTTCATGCTTGTAAACTGTTCAATAAATGTAACCAAAGCCGTCAAAGATTGAGGAAAGATGTACACGTTCGTAAGTACTTGCGTAACTGCTTCGTGAATCTGGCCCCAAGCTCGTAAGTACTTGCTTCGTAGGCCCCTGGTCGTGTCTTTGTCGTCCAGCTGTTTCGCTGCCAGTTACTGGCGTCTAAATCTGGTTGTTATTGGTAGCAAATTAATGAAACTCATCTATGTACTTACTAATTTTTCTTTGTTCTTGGTTTTGTCAACTTATAATTTGTTTAAAATCATTGTCCTTGTAGTTTGATCCATTCGGTAATAGATTAAAGCCACCATTGCCTGTATAGCACATATACTTAATATTTTTGTATTAATAAAACCCTTCATATATTCTACATTATGTTTATTGCATAATCAATTGGAATGTTTATCAATCTCGAAAGGCCTATATTATATATCTATCCATTTATATATTTAAGTATTGAATGACTTCCATATGTGGAGATATCTTTATTTCTGTCTGTGTACACTTGTACGCTATCATGAGAATAGTGGTTACAGCATAGTGAGCTTGTTGGTCATAATTGTTGTTTGTTGTTGTTTTAGATTCAACTACTGGGAACAAAAATTTCCAAGCAGCACGGGCTATGGTGATCCCGTCGTATTGCTCCAGTGTGTGGTGATTGATAAAGATTAGGCCACCCAAGAGGTGACACCGGCATGAATAGCCTGTAAAGGCCAGTATGTGGGTTTGATCATCATATATATATATATATATATATATATATATATATATATATATATATATATATATATATATATATATATATATATATATATATATATGTACCCAGTCACAGGAGACATCTCCCGTCACGCAGGGTGCAGTCGCACCTCCACAGATCTCCAGTATCAGCTCCTGATACTGGTAATGGCTCAAAAGGGCCACCACTTACGGGCTATTCATGCCCGTGCCACCTTTTGGGTGGCTTAATCTTCATCAATCAATCAATCTGTACCCAGTGTATCATGCGGGTGTTGCCTTGCAGGAATTATCATGAGCGCCTTCGTGGTATGTTGGCTGCCCTTCTTCGTGTTGGCCTTGGTACGTCCCTTCAAGACGCCCTCGTCCATTCCCGCCTGGATCTCCTCTCTCTTCCTGTGGCTGGGCTACGCCAACTCGCTCCTCAATCCTATTATCTACGCCACTCTCAACAAGGACTTCAGGAAACCCTTCCAGGTAATGCCTGTTAATTGTTCAGTTACCTTATGTCAACGAGTATTTTATCTTAACCTTTCTTGGCACAAAACTTGAATATTGTGACCCTTTCAGCTTACGAGGTATTTAGGAAGCTTGCAGATACTGCTAATATTTACTTTAGTTACAATAACTTAAAATATCATTTAATTTGTACGTGAAAATCAACGAATTTAAGTTAGCAAGATCTGTAAGTTACATACTTCAGGGATCCTTCAGTTGCTTATAATTAAATTCAGGGACTAACAAGAGCCACGTGTAGCTGCTTCAAGTCATGGTTAATCTATATATATATTATAATGTGGAGAAGCCATGATCTTGAGGTAACTTCTCGGGTTAAATATTTGTATTTTGACTCAGACTGAGGTTATGACACTAGGAAGCTGCGACGGGCAATTCGTGTATCGTCTATCACGTGTCTTATAGCAGTGTCTTTTAGATTTTTAAGATATATTGGACTCTTCAATATATATTGGACTATAATATCTTATATTGGACTAATCTTTCAACTCGGAGGCTCCTGAAAGATATTGGACTATTATCTTTCAACTCGGAGGCTCCTGAAAGATATTGGACTATTATCTTTCAACTCGGAGGCTCCTGAAAGATATTGGACTATTATCTTTCAACTCGGAGGCTCCTGAAAGATATTGGACTATTATCTTTCAACTCGGAGGCTCTATTTAGGCTCTGTTGTTCCAAAACATCCCCAGAACTACTGCCAGGCCTGTGTCTTTTTGTATTATTCTGATGAGTGTACAAATACCTTTTATTTTTTTTGCTGGCTCAACCAATTTCCTTAAAACATTCTCTAATCTAATTATAACGTGAATTACTTCAGCTTTTCTGGCCTCAGTTCTTCTAAATAATTGTACGTTTCACTTCATCGTAGATATCTTCTTATTCATAGTGCTGTCGACAGGACCAAGAATATTTAGGTCTTCAGTGGTGGGCCTCATATTTTGCTAACGCCACCAACGACGACATTATTAACATGTTGTCGTTAATCCTCGTTTGTGTTCCTCCGCTCTTTTCACTCCGGTAAATCTAGAAGGAATTGGGGACCTGATAAAAACACGGCTCTAAAAAAAAAGACATGAATGGGTCCCCCCTGTATGTAGCCTTTTGCGTACATTACAGTAATGCTGAGGACGCATGAACGGTTCTCTGTATGTGACCTTTTGCGTACATTACAGTAATGCTGAGGACGCATGAACGGTTCTCTGTATGTGATCTGCGTACATTACAGTAATGCTGAGGACGCATGAACGGTTCTCTGTATGTGACCTTTTGCGTAAATTACAGTAATGCTGAGGACGCATGAACGGTTCTCTGTATGTGACCTTCTGCGTACATTACAGTAATGCTGAGGACGCATGAACGGTTCTCTGTATGTGACCTTTTGCGTACATTACAGTAATGCTGAGGACGCATGAACGGTTCTCTGTATGTGATCTGCGTACATTACAGTAATGCTGAGGACGCATGAACGGTTCTCTGTATGTGACCTTCTGCGTACATTACAGTAATGCTGAGGACGCATGAACGGTTCTCTGCATGTGATCTGCGTACATTACAGTAATGCTGAGGACGCATGAACGGTTCTCTGCATGTGATCTGCGTACATTACAGTAATGCTGAGGACGCATGAACGGTTCTCTGTATGTGACCTTTTGCGTACATTACAGTAATGCTGAGGACGCATGAACGGTTCTCTGTATGTGACCTTCTGCGTACATTACAGTAATGCTGAGGACGCATGAACGGTTCTCTGCATGTGACCTTCTGCGTACATTACAGTAATACTGAGCTCGCGTACCTCTGAGATTGTGTCTATATTGGCTTCTCTATTTCACCGCCAGTCTGCTGTTTAATCCGTCCAGACAAAATGTCTAATTACTTCAATCCTTCTGATGAACCTTAATTCTCTTTCCATTAACTACTACGTTTGCAAGGTTTTGTTCTACGAACCGTTCTTTTTGTTCACTGATGATTTCCACAGTGCAAATAATGTCCGCTGTTGTTATACAGATAACTTCTTGCACTCAAATGCTTTCACATTAAATCTCGCACTTTTGCAGACCATTTCGCTTATGTTTGATCTTTAAACCATCTCTATCTGAGAGAGAACTCTATCAACATCAGAGGCCCGAGACTGTTCAACACGCTTCCACTACACATAAGGGGCATAACTGGCAAACCCCTCACAGTGTTCAAGAGAGAACTGGATAAGCACCTCCAAAGGATACCTGATCAACCAGGCTGTGACTCATACGTCAGGCTGCGAGCAGCCGCGTCTAACAGCCTGGTTGATCAGTCCAGCAACCAGGAGGCCTGGTCGATAACCGGGCCGCGGGGACACTAAGCCCCGGAAGCACCTCAAGGTAGCCTCAAGGTAGCCATCTCTCTTTGGAGAAAATAAGAATTCAAAAATTCATTAAACAAAGCAAATTGTTTAGCCAATTGTATAATCGTTGACTTTTTTCTAGTTACCACTTTTTTATATCGAAATCTTCAAAACTCAAATCAAAATGCAGCCGTTATTAAATATTTGAGACACATTAACTTTCGAACTATCGTAAAAAATATATTCTTCACTTGTGACGTGCCTACAAGTTACGTTCCTTCTCTCTCTTCACTCCGGTAAATCTAGAAGGGGATTTTAGATTTAGAAAGGGGATTTTAGATTTAGAAAAGGGATTTTAGATTTAGAAAGGGGGATTTTAGAAGGGGTAAATCTAGATGGGAACTCAATGAAAACACGGCTATAAAAAAAAGACTGAAAAAAAGACTCTTGAAGGCTAAACGATATTTCAGTTTTCAGTTGATTCAAATCTACTGAAGTCTCATTCGATTACTGCTCTTACGTGAGGGGAAAAATCAAATATTATTAGATTAATAATGATTAAGTGATTAATAATAAGTAAGGGATAATTATAGTTGAACTATTTCAAGATTATATTAAGATGTATATTAATTATTTATTGCTGTTAATTAATGGATTAAGATCATTATTTATCGGGAGTCAGTACATTATTAAACAAGTGACGGTTAGAAAGGCGGGGTCCAAGAGCTAACAACTCGGTCCTGCAGGCATAAATAGGAAATTAAAAATAGTAAATGCCCACACACACACACGGAATGCATTAGGAAGTGATGTGGTAGAGGCTGACTCCATACAAAGCTTCAAGTGTAGATATGATAGAGCCCAGTAGGCTCAGGAACCTGTACATTAGTTGACCAGACCACACACTAGAAGGTGAAAGGACGACGACGTTTCGGTCCGTCCTGGACCATTCTCAAGTCGGTCGTCCTGGACCATTCTCACAATCGACTTGAGAATGGTCCAGGACGGACCGAAACGTTATCGTCCCTTCACCTACTAGTATGTGGTCTGGTCAACATACTTTAGCCACGTTATCGTGACTGTACATTAGTTGATTGACAGTTGAGAGGCGGGACCAAAGAGCCAGAGCTCAACCCCCGCAAGCACAATTAGGTAAGTACACACACACAGGGGAAATAGGACAGGAGTCATTGCTATAAACAACCGGTGGCTAGAAAGGTGGGATCCAAGAGCCAATTCTCGATCCTGCAGGCACAAATATGTGAGTATATATATATACACATATACATATATAAATATGAGTATATATATATACACATATACATTTTAAGGTCAGATTCGACAAAGATTTCAAACATGAGAATAGTTCAATTATAACGCCACACGAGAGGCTGGTAGGCCGGGGTCAAGGAGCTAGACCTCACTTCCCAGTAAGTCAGGGTTCCGTAAGTGCTGATAGGTAAGTACGAGTTTGATATATGACTTTAAAATACTTTTGAAATAAAAAAAATTAAAATACGTTAAAAATGTAGTGCAGAAATCGTAGTTACCCGTTGCTGTATATACGAAAATTAGAAAAAAATATATAACACGTAAATGGATAGTGCATTTTCGAAAATGGCAATATAATCATATTATTTCCTGAAATGTTGGAGATTGGAACCCGTATTTGTTTACTGCAGTCATACCAGCGAAACGTCCATTTTCTTTTGCATTATCAAAGTGGAATTGTATATTTCATAATTGAGTTAATTTTTTGGGGGCGATTGGAACTAAGTAATGCAGACCAAATTAAGTGATAAAAATGTGTTATGAGGTTTTCATTTTTGAAAAGAATGAACGGAATTTTTCAGTTTCGAAATCACTGTGGAAGTATTTAATACCAAGACGGTAGGAGAGGGGTGTGGTTTATATATATATATATATATATATATATATATATATATATATATATATATATATATATATATATATATATATATATATATATAGCCTCCTGGCGCATATGCCTGACCCAACCGGCGACCATGAAGCCTCCTGGAGCATATTCCTGACCGAACCGGCGACCATGAAGCCTCCTGGAGCATATGCCTGACCCAACCGGCGACCATGAAGCCTCCTGGCGCATATGCCTGAGCGAACCGGCGACCATGAAGCCTCCTGGCGCATATGCCTGAGCGAACCGGCGACCATGAAGCCTCCTGGCGCATATGCCTGAGCGAACCAATGGTCACGAAGACCGAAGTATAGATTTACATAAAAGCGAGGATCAAGGGAGGCAATTACTGCTGGAAGTGGAGTGGAAGAGAAACATAAGGAACGCAGCATGTTGGACGAGGCAGAGGCACCCAAGCACTCAGGTCAATTCCTAATTCTCAACTCCCTGTTGAATAAGAGAGAATTGGTACTGGTGGGTCTGAGAGCTTCTCTGAGCCACAGTTCCTGAGACTGGTGCATTATGTAAAGAGCTCTGAGGTGGACGAATTATGCACTCAGCATTTCGAGTGCATTCCAAGCAAAGTTAGAATGGTGATTTTTCGTTTTTTTCTTTCCCACGAGGAAGAAGGTTGTGAGCTGGATAAAATTTGGTCTCTTTGCTAGAAGTACCATTTGTGGAGACGGGTTTAATGATTGA